TGTAAGTAAAGAACCCACAAATTTTGCAAATACAGAAATCAACAGGCGCTCTCACGCTTAAGTGACGAATGCCCTCTACAAGGGTTCTTTAGTATTGTATAAACACGGAGGAGGAACTGTTACACGAAGGAAATGAAAAGAAGTGAGAATAAAAGTAACTAGTTGCTTAATATGTTTATTGTGAAAAGAAGTGCTATTCGTAGCAACCTTACAAACTTGACCTTAGAAGTAGGGATAGATGTGCTAGAAATGTATGCCAAGTTATTTTAAAATCCTTTAATGCATGACAAAATATATTAAACAAGATCAACAAACAAAGTCGGCGTACATGAACGCAACCCAAACACGACTCAGCAACAAGGACCAGCGCCCAGAACCTCATGAGGACCCAAAACAAAAACAGGACGGGGCATAAGACAGAGCACGGACAAGACAATAACCCTTACAAAATACATAAGATGAAAAAGATAGTAACCGACATGGAAATAAAATACAATTGATTGATTAATAGGCCCACAAAGTAAAAGGGCACAGGGGAAGGGGAAGGGGGAAATTAAAAAAAAATAAAAATAGGGGCTAAAGGGAAGAAACTTACTGTAGACGAGAAAAGTTACAGTTCGGACAATAAAGCTTGGAGGTAGGTACATGGTCCTTCAACGCGACACGTAGTCTTGTGTGCCATGTTACTTTAAAACTCTTCAATGCATGACACACCTTGAATTTCTATTTTGATGATGAAAATCCTCAAACAATAAGTTTGATCCTTGCAGGTAGAGAAATCTGTATTAGACGCGACACATCGTATCAATGTGGTAGATATATATGATAGGTTATATAACTTTTCATGCATTACATGAAACCAATTGACCTTTGAGGTAGGGACATGGGTCTTAGACGCAACACATCAACATGGTGTAGTAAATATTTGTACCGAGTTATTTTAATATCCTTCAATGCATGTCAAGGTTACAGTCCGGAACTGTTTGTTGTCTTATAATGTACCTACAACCTTTAAGTGTGATCTTCACTTTTTAAGTAGTGACATGGACCTTAGAGACGTTGTCTCTTTGTGGTTTAAATCATTCAATGCATGACAGAGTAATAGTCCTGTCACAAATGAGTTCCTTCCAACTCTTTACGTAAGAATGAGTACCTTCAAACTATAATTGTGACCTTGAGAGAGCTTGGAGTTAGGGACAAGGAACATATCGTTTTGATGTGGTAGACATTTATCCCAAGTGTTTTGTTTGTATGTTTTAATCCTTCCATGCGTGATAAAGTGACAGTACGGACACCAATGTGTATCCCTTAAAATCTTAACATGTAAATGTGAACTCTCAAATAGTGTGACCTTGACCTCAGAGGTAAAGACGTGGTTCTTCGACGCAAAACATTTTCAATTTTGCCGTGTTGGGCTACGTTTGGGTATTCTGTCTTTCTCTATTTTGACGTGATAGACATTTGTGCCAATTTACTTTTAAAATGCATTTATGCATGACAAAGATACAGTCCGGACAAGAACTTTATGTAAGTTTGGACGCGTGGACGGGCAGGCAGGCAAACAGACAGACGAACGAACGGTGCGATATTAATATGCCACCCTTTGATGCCTTTACATTAAACTACATTTTTGTTTCATAATTATGCTTATTGTCCCCCGCCTTTTCGAAGAAAAAAAGGGGGTTATAGTAATAGGCTCCGTCCGTCTGTCCGTCCGTCCGTCCCACTTTCGTGTCCGATCAATAACTTTGTCATTTATGAAAGGAATCTGAAATAACTTGGCACAAATGTTTGTTATAATAAGACGATGTGTCATGATTAACAACCGGTCACCTACCTCCAAGGTCAAGGTCACACTTGGAGGTCAAATGTTAACATAGTCTATTATAGGGTATATTATGTGTCCGGTCCATAACTTTTTCACTTATCAAAGGAATCCAAAATAACTTGGCACAAATGTTTGTTATAATAAGACGATGTGTCATGCGCAACAACCAGACCCCTACCTCCGGGGTCAAGGTCGCACTTGCTCATTCAAGGTCAACATTGTCTATTTGATGGTATATGTCGAGTCCGGTCCATAACTTTCTTATCTTTGAAGGGATTTTGTAAATACTTGCCACAATTGTTTACAATAATAAGACGATGTGTCATGCGCAAAAATCGGTCACCTACCTCCAAGGTCAAGGTCACACTTGGTGGTCAAAGATTAACATAGTCTATTACGGGTTATATTTTGTGTCCGGTCCATAACTTTTTCATTTATCAAAGGAATCTGAAATTAATTGGCACAAATGTTTGTTATAATAAGACGATGTGTCATGCGCATCAACCAGACCCCTACATGCAGGGTCAAGGTCGCACTTGCTCATTCAAGGTCAACATTGTCTATTTGTTGGTATATGTCGTGTCCGGTCCATAACTTTCTTATCTTTGAAGGGATTTTGTAAATACTTGCAACCATTGTTCAAAATAATGAGACGATGTGTCATGATTAACAACCGGTCACCTACCTGCAAGGTCAAGGTCACACTTGGAGGTCAAATGTTAACATTGTCTGTTACAGGGTATATTTTGTGTCAGGTCCATAACTTTTTCATTTATCAAAGAAATATGAAATAACTTGGCACAAATGTTTGTTATAATAAGACAATGTGTCAAGCGCAACAACCAGACCCCTACCTCCAGGGTCAAGGTCGCACATGCTCATTCAAGGTCAACATTGTCTATTTGATGGTATATGTCGAGTCCGGTCCATAACTTTCTTATTTTTGAAGGGATTTTGTAAATACTTGCCACAATTATTCACAATAATGAGACGATGTGTCATGCGCAACAACCGGTCACCTACCTCCAAGGTCAATGTCACACTTGGAGGTCAAAGATTAACATAGTCTTTTACAGGGTATATTTTGTGTCCACTCCATAACTTTTTCATAGATCAAAGGATTTTGTAAGTACTTCCCACAAATAGTAACTATAATAAGACAATGTGTCTTGCGCAACACCTGCATCCCTACCTCAAAGTTCAAGGTCACACTTAGAGGTCAAAAGTTAACATAGTCTGTTAATTATATTTTTTTGTCTGATCTAGAACTTCTTCAGGATTTTGAAATAACTAGGCACAAATAATCACAATGATTAGATGATATGTCAGGCGCAAAACATGGGTCCCTACCTCCAAGGTCACACTTAGAGGTCAACGATTGACATAGTCTGTTATAGGGTATATTTTGTGTCCGATCTATAGGGGATTTTGAAAATACTTGGCACAAATAGTAATATTAATAAGACGATATGTCATGCACAACACCTGCACCCCTACCTCCAAGGTCAAGGTCACACTTAGAGGTCAAATTCCGTGTTTCATTTTACTAATATTTCTTTAATAAATTTATTGTTGCATTTGCAGATCTAGCATTGATCATAATTTTGGACTGAAAGTCCTGAAATCCTTACCTCAATCTTTTGAAATAGCACAATTTTATGCTTCATATAAAACTTCCCCGAGGCGGGGGTCGTTGTTACAAATTCTTGTTATTAGTTATCATAATCAAAATTTAGGCCAATTTTCAACAAAATCCTTTTGATGAAGAAGTCGAAATTGTGATTGCGGGCAATCATCTGAAATGTTAAGTAAAAAATATGATTATACTCCCACAACAAAGTGTAGGGGGCTTATAGGAGTCAGCTGGTCGGACGGTCGGTCCGTCCGTCCGTTGGTCCACTTCGTGGTTTCCGAACGATAACTAGAGTTGGCAATGAGGTATTGTAATCAAACTTGGTATATAGCAACCTTATGTGGAAACCCTGGTTGGCATTGCATTGGACCCCCTGGGGCCAAGGCCACTGTAACTAAAAATAAAAAATGGTTTCTGGACAATAACTAGAGTTAGAAATGAGATATTGTTCAAACTTGGTGTATTGCAAGCTTGTGTGGTGTTTGGTATTGCATTCGGACCCCATATGGTCAAGGTCTTTGTTACACTTACTTAAACTAGAAAAATGGTTTCCGGACAATAACTAGAGTTATGAATGAGATATTGTAATCAAAATTTATATGAAGATCCTGGTTGGTATTGCATTAAGACCCCCTGGGGTCAAGGTCACCGTTACTAAAATATAAAAATGGTTTCTGGACAATAACTAAGTTAGAAAGGGGATATTGTAATCAAACTTAGTATAAAGCAAGTTTATATGAAGATCCTGGTTGGTATTACAATTAATTGAAATAATTCCTTGTACATAGTTGATACTTAATAAACTTGAGGTTGAGTTCAAATTTTTCTTCAAACTACTTATTTTTCAAAACGTTGCTGGTGGGGGTATTAATCACCTTCAGTGATAGCTATAGGTTGTTTTCATTTGAAGTCGGGACTGCGATTTTTTTACGTTATATTACAGTGAAACAAGCGATTATTCGTTATTTACATGTCGTTTCGGTAAGCAAACCTTTATTCATAAATAAAAGAATCCATCTACCAAAATTCAACAAAATGATATCTTTTGGTAATATAATTACATAGATATTTGGGGCCGCTAGTATAATTTTGGTCAAATTAAAAGCAGGCACACGTGAATTTAGCCTTTACTAGCTAACTTAAAGTTTTGAGTTGTATATTTGGTAATGAAAATTTTTGTGTCGTTAAAGTATCTAAGAACAACTTCTGTTAAAGAAACTACACTGCGCTCCCAAAACATCCAAGTTTAAATTTCTGACATAGGTAAACTTGTGTACTTAAAATGGGAAATATGCAACAGATAATAAAACCTATTAAACAGTTAAGTATCGCATTCATTTCCCTATATATGTGAAAATATTATGTTACTAGGCTTTAGTAATGCTCAGTAATAATGTCAATGGACTATCAGTGCTTAAATAATATATCTATGTAAGCTTCCTCTCGTCAAATATCATTTGACGTAAACGCTCAGAATTAATTTTATTTGCTTGCAGAAGTTATCGACTGAGTAAGTTCCTAAACATCACGTAAGAAAACTTGTAAAATAAACATGTTTAATTTCCTGCTGTCACGAAGATTTTAAATCCATTAGGAACAAATGACTCCGACGTCTTCGTTATGGTCACAGTCATGTTTACCCCAATACGTATGTTTACAAAACGTAATGCTGGCTTCATCACCGGTACAAGACACATCATCTAAATAAATGCGCCCACTGCCTGGAGTTACACCGGTATCAACTCTTGCATTTGAACTGGAATATAAATATGTGCAGTAACATAAAAATAAAGGAAGCCAAAGTCATTAAGCAGGGATATATGGTTTCATTTTTTTTTAAATTTCTAAACATTCTTTGATCACAAAAAATATTTCAGTACATTTAGTTATAATTTACTTCGGTTCACTGATACAACCCGAACGAAACAATCAGGGACCTAATATAATACGCTGAATTTATGCGGGTGTATAATAAGACTTAACTACTTAAGCAATATTATGTTCTAGTTGTTAAGTGTTTTAAATGTTTAATTTTTTAAAAACCAATTATATTACTTGTTCTTTAAACAGCATCTCTGTTATTATGTCATATCAAAATAAAATAAAAAAAAAACGAAATTAATATTTCACAGTTCAAATCCTTTCACAAACTAGATTCATTAATATGTCTAAAATAGTTTTTGTTCACTGAATATAGGATACGTATTATGTTACATTAACTTATGAATACTATACGTACGAAGGAAATCCAAGCATGTTACAAACAACTTTTGCAGAAGCGACTGAAAATGAGTCATCACAGACTGTTCCCCAGTTAGACCCATCTAATGATATTTCCACACGACCTGAGTGAATACCTCCTCTTAGACGAACTTGAAGAGCTGAAATGTAGAAAATTGTTTAAAATTGAATATATAACAGTTCACAGCTGCATAACCTTTCATGGAGTTATTAACAAAGAAGGATAAGTCAGAAAATATTTTAATAAAAGTAAGAAAATTTATAACTTTTGATCCAGAATTGTTTCAGTACATACGAAACACATATAATTTTTTGTGACGCCTCTACAGAATAAGGGCGACATATAAGGATCACGTCTTTGTCGTCTGTTTATCTGTATGGAATGATCAATACCAAGTCTTGTTGTGCATATCGTCAGCAGTTTCCAGTTTAATGGTTTTTGTCAGAGTTATGGTCCTTTAATGATTTTTTGTGCGGGCTACTCATCTTATACAACTAATTCAATTCTAATAAAACGTTATAGGATAGATCGGGAGCTCAATTAATCAAAGCACTGAAAGTACTGAAGTATACATTGCTTGATAATATAATCCATTTTTGTCATCAAAGCCATGTTGATTTTAACCTACTGACCTTGAAAACAATATGGGTCATCTTCTGACCAAGGTCAATGTCCCTAACAAGTGACTCACGTGCACCAAGGCTTTTTTCTTCCAAAATTATTTATGAGACAAGGAAGATGTAATGTTCCATCTGTGTATTGCTAGGCAAGCTGATAGATGAGCAATAAAGAAATCATTTTTTGAAACACCCGTTAAATGGACTGCAGTATAGAATATTGAAACAGTCATATTGAGTTTCCAGTGATGCTATCTAATAAAATACATGATCTGGCTTGAACTCTATACCATGTCAATTAACTGAACCATCCTACAAGACTTAATTACCAAATTATAGTACATCTATGTACTGTACTTTGATGCATTAATAAATAGATTCCGGTGTGTTGTATTAATCTCTACACATTAATTTTCAAATGCATTACTTTATCGTTTATTAATAAAAATTAAATCTATAATCAAAGCAATACAAATGTACTGTAATATTTTCATTATTCAATAATTGTTACATATAGTCTTCATGAACAACCTTTCCAAGAAATCCATTTATATTGGACAGCAAGTTAACAAGGGTTTTTTTTGGCTACTGTTACCTACTTCTGATTTTCAACCAAGGTAATCCATGTTCAAACTCGAGCAAAACCTGTCACACACATTCTTACGATGTTGTGTGTCAATTGGGACAAAAGTGTGACCAGTAGAGTGTTAACAAACTAAATGACCAGCAGATTGTTGGCGCCCGCGCCGAAGCGCGGCGCCTTATGGAATGAAATGAGATTTTGTGAAAGGGCGACAACAACTTCTCGAGCCTTTTATTCGGTCATAATAAAAGCCGATCATTCCGATCGGTATGAGGGTGCTTGATTATTATAAAGTTGCGATATGTACAATGAATAGCGAACTGGAGAATTTCGCAATGCAAACATTTTCAAATGAAATAACCTTTTCCGTCTCTTCGGTTTTTTTATTTATCATTTTTAGTACACAGTGGGTTATTATGGTATGGTAAAATACAATAATGAGTTGATGATCTAAAAATTTATTGATTATACATAAACATACAATTCGAAAAAAAAAACCAACAACAACAACAATAGCATGTTTATTTTATCTATATGTGATAAAAACAATAAATATGTACAATAATTGAGAAAAAAGGTACATTTTTATGGTATTAATATGACACTATCAACTTTGAAACATTTTATTTAATTTGTTACTCGTGTTTAGTAAAGATGCCGAGGAATTATTCAAAGTTACAAATTAGATTTTATGAATTATTCAATCGATTGATAATTTAAAAAACGATAAAGAAAAATACCAATGTTCCTGTACATGGTTTAAGAATAAACAATATTATATCTTGAAACATTAACCATAATTTACTGACTTTTTCCAGTTAAGTTTTGACTTATAATCGTCGGTCAATATGACAATTGAATTCTTAAAATTTATTTTACAATTTTAATAAAAAAAGAGTAGTAAACATAAAAAAAACCCAGTATTAAAATAACACATAAAACACAAAAAAGAGAGGGAAACAATATTCATAAAATCTGTATTTTTATATTAAAATAGATATTACAATTATTGTATAATAAACACTTATGCTCAACATGATCAACATGGTAATATAACCAGTATCATATTTTTACTAAGTGTGAACAGATACCTTAAGAGGGGGTCTTCGCTAATAGCGATAACATAATAAGGGACAATTCCACAAGTGTCGTGTTGATCATGAGTTACACATATGGATTATAAATGATTGTATACATGTACATCCGTTGTTATTAATAATCACGATCATAAAGAAATAACAAGCAATATTCTAATCTCTAGCATGCCAATCAAAGTTCATAATGAACAATGTCTACATCACGATCATAAAGAAATAACAAGTAATATTCTAATCTCTAGCATGCCAATCAAAGTTCATAATGAACAATGTCTACCGTCTGTTCATTCTGGTAAAAACCAATTAACCATTGAAAAGTTTATAAGAATATCTTGTCATCATATGTCTACTAGTTCATCTTCACTTTCTGCATTTCTTGCTTGGACGCCCTTTGATGCTTTGCATCAATGCTTTTCTTGTTAACAACTGTAATGTCAGCGTCGGATACACATGGTTGATTAACATTTAACATGACATAACTGATAAATGTAAATGGTTCGGCCGTGGGTATCCGACGATGCTAAATGTGGACAGACCAGAGTTGACATAAGATGGATGGCCGACATTCAACAATCTAAAACCTCACCCTGAGCCAACCTATAAGTTTCACCACTGACTTTTTCATACTGTTCTTATTACAAAAAATAACTGACATTTTACAAAGGTAATAAATTTTATGTCATAGTTATTCATTTAAACGGTTGAAAAATGTATTTAGCAGCACTTTTTTAAATATATCTAGTATTTTATTGCAAGTAAAATGTGTTGTTTGTTTGTTTGTTTTTTTTTTCTATGTTTTTGACGCTAGGCAGTAACATAGCCGAGCAACAATTTCATACAATGTTTATTACAAAAATATTACTGATATTTTACATTGCTCACACATATAATGTTATAATCATTCATTTAGACGGTTGAAAAATTTATTTAATAGTTCTTATTTTAAAAATGTCCATTTCATCGCTTGTAAAATGTGTTGTTGTTTTTTTTTTGGGGGGTGGGGGGGGGGGCTTTTCCATGATTTTGACGCTAGACCGTTACGTAGACGAAAAACACTTTCATACTGTATTTATAAAAATAACATCACTGACATTTTACATTGGTAACAAAAGAAAGTAATAGTTATTCATTTAAAAGGTTGAAAAAAATAACAGCGGCTCTTGTTTTAACTACGACTATTTTAACGCCCGTAAAAATGTGTTTCCGGCTTTTCCATGTTTTTTTTTTACGCTAGACTGTTACTTTGCCGAAAAAATCTTTCATATCGCATTTAATACATAATAGAATCATTCTCTAATTACACTGGTTGCAAAAAGAAAGTAAATTTTAATCATTTAAAGGATAAAAAAAGTAAACAAAACTTATTTTGTTGGAATTATACCAATTGTATATATCATCGATTTAGAACTGATATTATTGAACCCATTTCATCAAATAACCATCAAAAACCCATTTCATCAAATAACCATCAAAAGTTGTTTATATTGCTGAATCAATATTTCTTTGTATTTTAAGTGATTTTCGGTATTTTTTTGGTTTTCGGCAATTAATATAAGCAGATTAAAATAATTCCTATTTTCTGAACATAAATTTAATGTATTTATTTCTTAATGCTTACACTGATTTACAGTTTCAAATGATTATTTCTTCTCGTTGAATCTGGCCACATATGCCTATATTTAGCTCCATGCTCTGGCTTAAGGTAGTACACCCCTAATGGGCACTATAAGGAATTGTAAATTTGACAACATAGGACAGTTGTATGCCTTAAATGTCACCTGTATGCAAAATTTAAACAAAATTTACCGTGTGGTTTATGAGTTATGGACATTTTTATGAACTAAAACTTTGCCATTAGAAGAGATTTTTTCAGAAATGAGGAAACTCTAAATAATCTATAATATCATCATTATGAAAAATGTTTTCCTTTTGCTCATTGTTAAGAAATAAATAATGACATTTAGGTAACAAATTAAACAAGCAAAATGATTGTTTTTAAACGAAATGTTTTTAATATGTATAAAAATGTAACCCTACCCCACACACTTTTAACACTAATTTGTCCATTTCCCTATGTAAAAAGCCTTATTTAAAATATCCCTAAAATTTTCCAAAATGAGGGGCTATTTTCAAAGTTTGCCTAAATTTTCTTTAATGTATATTGGTTGGTCTTGCAAAATATAAAATACTTTTACCGTTTAGTTTTTATTTTATTAAACTTTGAAAATATCTGGTATCATATTTGCTATTAAATTTGGCATTATTTAGTAAATAAATACCAACAATAATTATATAATTAAAATAAAACACTTTTTTCTTCCATAGGGGGTCTGAGAGATTAATAAAAAATGTTAAAAAGAAAAAAAAAAGAAAGAAAAAAAATTGCCCCTTCTGGGGTTTGAACCCACGCCCCCTCAGTTTCAATACACTTTACAGTGATTTTAGCCTATTTGAATACTCTTCAAAGTGGAGACAGTGCATTAGGGATGTACTACCTTAATCGTCAATATCCCAAGTTCGACTCGAACGGTCGAGCGGCCGAATCTTTATTTGTACCCGTACTGAATCAGGCAATCTTCGCTGAATTTCGAAACATATTTCTTTTCAAAAATCTAAGGCATACAAAAGTGAAAGGAAAAACATGTGTAAAAAAGGTATTCAAAAGAATAGCTTACGAAATTTCTATTTTTCGAAGCCACGATAATTGCCAGGTTTTTTTTAAAAAAAAAAAACAACATTTTCCGGTATACGCTGGTAAATTTTGTTACGGAGCTCCATACTTATTTTGTAAAACATTTTAGGGCAATTTTATTGCATAAATGTAAATCAGGAATTTAATTTGATTTAATATCTATCTGAGATGTTTCGTCCCATTTATATAATACAATGTACACCGGTAAACACTTTCAGAACTAGCAGACGACATGCTATTCTTAAAGATAACGGGTTGCGTATCTCACTGTATAAATCGCATGTAAAATGGTCTGACATATGGTAGGTTTAACAGTTAATTTAAATACTTTGGAGTCAAAAGATGTATTGAAGTTTATACTGTGATGAAGCTAAGATCCAAAGCTTTCTATTGGTGTAATACATTTTAAAATCGGACATTTAATCACAACAAACTAGCGGTTTAAAAACGGCTTATTTTGTATTGTTTTAGCATAAGCGGTATCGATTTTACTCGAAGATAAGGGAAGCAACTCGTATTTTTCACTCGATATACCTCGGTTATTTACGTAGATCATATTGAAAGTGTTTGCTATGTCTTTTGCATCTCATCAACATTTTTTTCATTCTAAGAATTTTTGTTTAAGGTATAGCCCTTTCATGATTTATTTTTTTTTGAAATTTTTCCGGACTACTACTCTTATACTAGTGATGAAATTTCAATGAAGCTTTATAGAATTGATTGTCAAGCACTTGTTCATTTTACAAAGGTTTTCCGATTAAATAATTTTTGACCGAGTTATGGCCCTTGAATAAAAAACGGGTTTTGCCCTGTTAATGATTTTTGCGTCCCCTGATACACAGTAGCTGTAACATGCAATTATTTATCATGAGGCGACACATGTGATCACTGATCGCCCTAATGTTACGTAAAAGATAAAAGTAGTATACAATAAGACAATTCAGATACTTGTGCCATGAATTATAAGTAACTAGGTGTTATTTGATTTTTATGTTTTGCTTTCGTTACGATAGATGTACTTTATCATTATTCCCCATGTACAGACGCATTCAGACCGAGTCTGCATTTTCATGTATTTTTGTGTTCTTAAATGCTTCCGAAAAATAAACACCTTTTTTCCAGATTTTTAGATTTTTAATTCATGCTTACATTTGTCATATAATTTGTTAATATCTTATTAACTACTAACAACTGTTCTAGACAGCGGGATGGTAAAATAACGGTCAACTTATGTCTGTAGCTTTTAAGAAACCCATTGCCCTTGGCAAATTATACTGTAACACTGGTCGACATGCCTTTCGTCCATCCGTTATCAAAGCAATGATGATAGAAGTAGGGTTAAATGTTGATCTCATTGAGAAGATGTAGAAAACCCATATTTTATAGGCAAGATAACGGATCAAATTAAAAGCATTAGAAAAGGTCAATTACATATCACCTGTACAGCATGTGACATATTCCTAATGCATGATGATTGACTAGCCATATAGAACTAACATTCTGGTTCTAAAATATTATAATTTCAAGCTTTCATCTCTGTCAGCATAGAGCTCTCTCTAGAACTGTTTGAATGATATTCATTATAAGCGCGATTTCTATAGAGATGTGATCTACAGACTTTGTACTGGTATTTTTTCTATTGCCATAGTCTAAAATAATTAAACGTTTTATTTAAGAAGGTAATGAGTCTACTATTTAAGACATACCGCATGCTAAGTGTTCAACCCTTTTACAATTGGACACTACGCTTTCCTATTTTGATTACATTTGACTGACCAAAGGGACAACTCTATCATGGACAGTTCTGAAAACCAGTGGATGGGTTTCAGTCGTCTGCTATCATTTTCCTGCCTATAAATGTCAGAGAAAACTTATGTAATTCTGTCTAAGGGACATTCATTTTACCTTGTTAAAATATTTATCTTATTTAAATAATATAGTTCCCCATTAATTGCATGCTGGAGTAGCACAATGGCTGAAAACGCCAATTGTGGAAGAAAGACATATCATTTATTTGTGTTGTTGTTGTTGTTGTGGTTTTAAATGCCTTAAAATTTAGCAATTGCAATAAAAGGAATAGTTATCAATTACGATATATAATAATACCAGTTTTGCTCAAATTGATTTAAAACCCACTTTTAGAGGATATTTCACATAAGTATCAGTAAATGTCTTGAGCACACGCTCGAAGGTGGTAACAAGTTCAATATCCTGTCAGAATGAGAGCTCTTGATCCTTGTGCTTTAGATAATTATAGAATAATAATAACATATATATCAATAGTGATGAGTACTTACCTGATATACAAGATATGCCCACATCTTCGCTATGTGAACAATCATTTACGCCCCATGAGTTATGTTGACATTGGATTAAACTGTTTTCGGAACCTGAGCAAACAACATTATCTAACATAATCGGGAGTGTTCCCTGTTTGAAATGATTAGGAGGGAATACTCTAGGTACTGTCCTAAAATAGAAGTAAAATTTCTGTTCAGGATATTAAACCGACACTACTGAAATCAAGTTAATATGTAAAAATTTAATCGTGACAAAAACAATCACAATTTAACATTAATGTCACCTACACATAAATGATAACATAAATTATTTGAGCCATGTGTGTGTGTTTAAGTTTTTTTTATAAAATGTCAGATTTGATTCAAGAAGACAGTCATCGAGTATAAAAACGTAAAAGGTAATAAAAAAACGAAAAAAAACAACAAAACAATGCAAACATAAATTACGGCACACAACCGTTTTCTATAATAGTGATTATTGTCGAGCCCGCTTGCGGTGAGCTCGACTTAGTCATCACTTGTGGCGTATTTTCGGTGTATGTGTTTCTGAGCATCCGGATTCGTCAAGTCTATATCTTGCTCATTTATTGAAGAATTACAAAATAATTTGATACAAATGTTCACCATGATAGGGTGGTGTGTTGCACGTAAAACCAAGGCCCGCCCCTCAAAGGCCAATGTCACTCTTTTGGGACAGCGCAGTCTTGAGTGTTACTCCTACATGCATCGCAGCATGGAGTGGTTTTAATATTACTCGGGACAATTTTTCTCCTTAGTGAGTCGGAGTGTCGCGCGAAAAATCCAGGTGTATGTGGCAAAGGTCAAGGTCACACATAGGGGTCATTGTTCAAATAACAATTTAAAAACATTCATTTACGCGCATAACTTTTTTATACATGAATGGATTTTAATATAACTTAGCACAAATCTTCTCCAATTTAAATTTCGCGAAATATGAAGGTCAAGATCACAAGAGGTCAAAAGTCAAATAAAAAATATTAAAATTTGTTTGTTAGCGATATATCTTGACTATGCTTTTAAGTATTATGCTTAGTGATCAGAGGATTTTTGTTTAGCCCACTTGCGTTGGCTCGACCTAGTCGTCAGATTTTGTGTTTAGTTCGGTGTTTGTGCGTCCATCCGTCCGTCCGTCCGGGTTTGTCAGATCTATATTTTGCCAATTCTTTGAAGGATTTATTGTATCAAACTAATTTGATACAAATGTTCATCATGATGGGGTGATATGTTTCACACAAAACCAAGGTCCGCCGCACAATCGTAAAGGTCACACTTGGGTCATCATGAGACTTCGTGTCATGCACATGAACCAGGTCACTGTGTAAGAGGTCAAGGTCACCTAAGAAGATGCAATGTCAAGATTTTGCCTTGCGTATAAAGAGGATGTATTGCGCTCATCACACCTATGTATACATCTTTCTCCTTCAGGTTTGAACAAAGACGAGCAGGATCGACATTCTGCCCGTGGGCATGTTTTTAAGCCATGTCTTATTTTAGAAGATTGCATATCCAAAATACAATTTTGTTTGTGTAACATTATTACATTTACAGGTTATAAACATACAAATTAAATTTTGTAAAATGGCGTATCAGATGATGTATTCGCCCTTTGGTATATTTACCATGGATATTTCAACATCCTACAAACAACAGTTGCTGCAAGCTCAGTAAATTTATCATCACACACCGTGCCCCATTTACCATTATGAAATATTTCTACTCTTCCTTCGTATCGGTGTTGACCGTCCACTAGTCGAACTTCAACTTTATAAAACAAATTATTTTTAGAATTTGTCAGTAAAATATTCGAAAAGCATTTGTAAAGCCTAAACAAAGTGTCCTCATATTTTATACAAAGACATTGATGTGATTGCGCTTCTTACAGCTATCTCTACTCGAAGGTAAGAACAAATATAAAGAAATGTTTTTAAATTGTCGCAATTTAACGCATATACATGTATCAATTAAAGTCTTGGACATTTTGTCATTTTTACCGAAAACAAGCGTAGGCCAAACGATGAACTTGGACATAACACAGAGTCTCGAGTATAGAAAAAAATAATCTGGAAGATCGGAAATCAATTGGAAGAAATGAAAAAAAATGTGAAGTTAGCAGACTGGTTTAATTTATTTCATTCAGTCACTATTAGTGTTATAACAAATTTGACAATATAGTTGATATGGTAAGTGAACAAATCTTCCTGCAGCAAACATTTCTCAGAAGAGCCGTTAATCAAATTTTTTAGATAAGAACTATGTTTTACTAGATTATTTAGTTTTGACTTTTGTTATTTTAAAATATTAACAAACCATATTTCAACAAAGCTATAAGATACAGCTTTAATATTTTTAAAAGTACTTTTAGACAAAATAGTTTCAACAGGGCTGTATTTATTTATGTCTATAAAGCAGAATTTTAATTATATATGTATGTTTCTGGTAGAGAACAGCAATCTATTATTCACACGCGCGTGTTAGCGTGTGTATGCATGTGCATATGTTTAGTCTCGCCATGGGAATAAGTTATATATAGGTGTATAAGGTAAGACATAATTTATTCGCAGCCTAACGAAATGTCAGGATTTTATATACTACCAGTTATGCATATGTGCTTATGCATGTGTAATAAGTCCCATCTCAAATCGTCAGCATGTGTTTGATTACCGTGGAGATAAGACTCAGTAAATTTTAAACTAATTTTAAATGTACAATCTACTAAAATCATCATTATGATAAGAAGAAAGTGTTTAAAAAAAACCTATATAAGTACACCGGCTTTTGTTACAGGACCTAAAATTTACACCGTATATTTTGTCACTTAACAAACAATATACTTTAATAACTCAGATGATCTCTTATTTACCAATTTTTGAATGTTACGAAAATTGTTTTTATTGTAACATAAATTATAAACCTTATCATTGATCTGAAGACTACATACATTTTTAATGCCATGATATTGTTTGGCAACAGTGACCTAATACATTTGAATTATTTTTTGCGAAACCTGACTACTGCTAAGTTTTTGAGCATTCCAATCATCTGTTGTACGACTTTACAAATTGAAAATGTTACATATACGCCTACATGTATATATCAAAGTTATGTTGTTGTTTTCTTTTAAGAAAAGACACCACGAGAAATTAAAGAAATGATTCAATCACTAATGCTGCATATAATAATTAAAACATAATAAAAGAAAACTGAAAAACAAATTTTTGAGGATTCGAACTTGCAACTTCGCTACACTTATTAACCACTAGACCATCGGGACATTAGTATAAAAAGTATCGAGAACTTTCCTATCATTACAAATCAATAAGTAGGTCGTAATAAATTACAAAAACTAACGAAAAGGCTTCCGAAAATCAATGAGTCTTAGGTCAATATTGCCATTAGGTCAATATTGCCAAACAATATATACAGTGACATTTAAATAAATATAGTTCGTAATGTTCGGCTTTACATGTATTTTCTTGTACAACAGTAGTTTATTCGTGACTGATGGTACTTTTAAAATCATGCATCTTAAATAATTCTTCATTTTAGTGAAGATAATAAACACTGAAAGGAAGTTTAACGCTCCTTTAAAGAAATACAAAATCTTATATACATTGAAGACATTTACATAACTTAATCATTCACGACTATCTGCTTTGTATCGTTAGAATTATTCTTTAAATGCGTACCCCCGCAACTTTGAGTATTACACAATTCCAAATCTTTAGAATTTCCAATACATCCCATATTAGATACACATGTCCTTGTCCTTTCTCTAATTCCAGCATCACATGGTTCTGAGCATTGTCCCCAGGTAGACCATGATGACCAATCTTGAATAAAAAAAGATAATTCTCTATTTTCTAATTTTCTAATAATAATTGCATTAAATTCATTAAAATCCCCATGTCGGTGTATTTTCGACATATTTTAAAATGACCACTCTTCAGTTAAATTAAAGAAATGAAATGTATACATATACGTATATACTATTTGATACAAGTTTTTTAAGATTTTTCTATTTTTGTTTTGTTGTGGTTTCTAAAAAACAAGGATGCTTTTCTCGTGTTAGTCCATGAAAAATAAAGAGGTTCTATTTTAGTGAATACAGTTCACATATGCAGTACCACTGTTTTACAATAATGATTTGAAATATTCTGATGACCATTCTTGAAAAGACAGATGAGTCTTTAAAATGAGATTTTAAGAATACAGAGTACACACAAAAATATATGAAATAAGGTTAATTTCAGTATCCGTGAAATTGAATTAACCGTCTTTTATAAAATTTGATAAAAAGACTGAATAACATAACTTAGACTCTTCTTTTACGATGCTAAAAGTCTTGCCGTACGCCATTTTAAATGTTTCCTTTTAATTACTGATTTTCATCTTTCTCCTTTAGCTTTGAGGACTTGATTTACCTTACAAATGCATATGTGTCAATACGTTTTACGTACTTGGACAGCCTCTTGTGTTGCAAATATCCCTGTCAAGTGAATTACCAATACAGACTTGGCCATTAACAGTCGGAGATGGATTTGTGCATGTCCTAGTGCGTGTCTTTGTCCCTCCGCCGCAAGTCATCGTACAAGATCCCCATGTTGTCCATGACGCCCAGTGTCCATTAACAGCTTAAAGAAGACATTGAAATAATGGATTTTATTTGATATAGCATTACACTGATGAATACAATCAGCGACACGGATGTTCTAGCATCAGACACTTAATTTTGCATCTTTTTTAAATATGAACATGTATATTATATTAAAATATATATATATATATATATTATGAATTATATTAAAATTATATTAAATCAATTAATTAATTAATTTAATTAAAATTGTATTAAAAACTGCAAACTTAACAAAACAAGGAGTCGGATAGTTAAATACCTCTCTTTGTATAGCAAACAATATTTTTAAAATCATTTACCAAAAATAAAAACATAATTATGTTTCGTGTGATATTTTAAGAATCATGAACCTATTGACACATTTAATTTTTTGTAAAAGGAACAAGCTAATCATCTTAAATATATAGTAGTACGTTTATTCGTTTAAATTAATATTATCAATTATTTATGACTTTATAAACAAAGCATGTAAGTGACCTATTAATATTATTTTCACTGTAAATGTGTTGTTAAAAAATAGAAAAATGTTCAAAAAGTGTAGTTTACCTGGACAACTTCCAGTGTTACAAATATTCTTGTCTTCAGAGTTCCCTATACATACTCTCCCATTCCCAGATGGTGCAGGATTGTTGCATTGTCTTGTTCTCACTTTAGTTCCACCATCACATGTGGCAGAACAAGACGACCATGTTGACCACACTGACCAATGTCCATTTACAGCTGTCAATAAATTAATGATTAATGTGCCAACCAAAAATTCTGTGTCATAGTGATGATGGGGTAATGGTGATTCCTGTGATGGCTGCAGTTACCAAGAGGAGCTACATGTAACAATTCTAAGATTTTGTCACAAATAAATGACATTTATGCTCTTATGACCAGGGTATTTCTCCGTAAAAGTAATGGAAAATTTTAAGTGCTGTATGAAGTATTTCCAGCACGCATAGATTTTATCGAGAAGACACATGATTACCGTAAATTTGACAGGCAAAGAACCGATACAAAGCCTGTTCTGTGACCTACAAGGGTGACCTTATCCTTTGGCCACACATCAAAGTTTCTGAACATCGCCTTCAACAGTAACCATTTGAGCCAAGTGTGAAAGAAAATCCTTCAGGAGGTATAGGAGGTAAAAGGCGAACACGATAAATGGACGTACAGACACGACAATCTTTATATCCACTTCCCCATTACTAAGGTTATACAATCCAAGGCAGTGATGGATTAAATTTGTCCTAAAGAAATATTCCGAGAGAAAAAAAAAACAGACGGACGATTTTGCTAGACCTACTGTGTTGATATTTTAAACCCACATTTTGTGATTTTAGCCACATAGTACAAACAACAGTTTGCTAGATAAGTTCTGTATAATGTCAGCCACTACACAAACATAGCCCGACGTATACGGACAGACAGACAAAGTGTCAACTGGTTTATATCCTTGTATATTTGAGTGTATCCAATATTTCCTGTCTGGTTTAAATACGTTCTCAGACAGGACAAAAATCTATGATAAACATGTATTTCATTTTTCTCACTCTTCTTATTAACATTTACATCAATGCATTATTTTGAAAGTATTTGACTATTCAATACCTGGGCATGCAAATGAGTTGCAGGCCTTTGTCTCCTGGTCATTTCCAACGCAGTCATGACCAAAAGGGGATGGTGTCGGATTGTTACAAAATCTTCTTCTGTTTGAAATCCCACCTAAACACGATGCAGAACATGAACTCCATGTTGACCATGACGACCATAAACCATCTGAGAGATAAATGATTGAATAATACACAATAATCTTATTTGATAGAGTATTCAGTATATTTGAATAAATTATAAATATAATAAACTTTAGATATGAATGCTAGATTGTAAGTATATAGATTAATTGCATCATAATAATGTCAGTGATCACACATGCAACTTACCGGCACATGACTTTAGAAAACAGGCACGATCATCCCTTGCATCGCCAGTGCAAGACATACCTCCTGGACCTGGATAAGGATTAGAGCAAAACCGATCTCTCCTTTCAAGGCCGATCCCGCATGTTACACTACAGCTTCCCCATGAATTCCATATGCTCCAACCGCCATTCACTTTGAATCGAAGAAAATCAGATATATTAAAATTCCTCGTCGGCAAAGGAAACAACAAGGATAAGCATTTATAGAGCAAATAATTAATAGTGGAATGAGCTATGGTCCTTTACAAGTTGTCAAAAGGGAATGTAAAGATATGTAGGTTTACCAATAGGAGGGTTGTTAAAAAGTAATTGACTTTAGCTCGTAGACATAGTCAAGAATGAATAACAATATGTTTACAATTTTGTGACAAAGTACAAAGGGTTCATGTCCCGCTCGTTAATAATACAATGATGTCCATGTCGTCGCGAAATAAAAATAGTTCTTTAGGGTAGTCGATCCGGACCTGCCTCCTCTGATTTAGACCCGATTTAAACGCCATGTAGCCTTAACTATGTCTCTTCTGAGGTGATGATGCGATAAAAGTAAGAGGCCGCCTTCTCAACAAAATCCCGGGAGTCAACCTATTTCCGCTCTTCCTAGTCATATTTTGCAAACAATAAACCGTACGGGAAACTTATCATTATCGCCTGAGCAGTGAATACAAATTGGCGTTAAATGTTAATAAAAAAAATCTGACAGCTTTAAAAACATGGTCTGTACTTTAAGTGCTGTCTTTCTCGGGGATTATATGATTCCAATACTTTTTTATGGTTGAATATGGATTAAAATAATACTAGCGGACGGGATAGGATGTTGCATCATTGCCGTATCTCTCATAAACACTCAATCAAACAATAAAAACAATGAAAGAAGTATGCAAAAATAAGTCAACTTCTGTAAAAGTTAAGTCTGCATATATTCTTGAATAGAGTAATTGACTTCAAAGAATAGGACGAGGCTACTGTCACATAGACGTCAAACAGAATTTACTACTAATGTTGCGATAACAACATCAGCTTAAAGCTGTTATTAATCAGTTTGAGATCAATAACAATGACGTCAGTTTCTTCAAGAGTCAGTTTCTTATATAGAAAGGACACTTTTTCTAAAGAATATTGACAGGGTCGCTTTAGTTCGTTACATCGTAGAGCTCGCGAACTTAGTTATTCTCTAATGGATATCACTAACGTTCCGTAAATTTCATAATTTCTTTATCGACCTTCTTCCCCCGAGAAGATTTTGATTTTCAGAAAGAAAATAGTACAATCGGGTGTCACTTCAGAGCACATTCAATCCCTTTTCATACCGTCTGATTTTAACAAATAAAATAAAGATGTGGAAACATTACATAAGTTCATAGTTTGTCTTTTAATGACCGCAGAAAGGTCCTAAGCTAAATGGACCTTCATGACACTACCACGAACTGTTTATTTCTTCAGGTTTATTGTCTAGAGAGAAAGGCTAGTCGGATTTGTTTTTATTGTTGTTTTTGTTTTTTGTTTTTTTAAATTATTTTATTTTTAATCTTTTTATTTTTGATATATTTTGTAGCGGTAGACACTAAAATAGTCAGCAAAATTACCATTAGGGTCGTATTGCTTATTAGCTTTAATGTAACTTATATGTAGTGTTTTGTGAGCTTTTGACCGACTCAAGGGAAAAGCGTTTTGTTAAAGGAACTTATGAAGGAGACGATAGGACGTTGGAGTGTTTGAAGTACTATCGGAAACGTCTTTTATAGGACTACCTGCGATTCTTAACCCGGGTTAGGCACTTAATTTTACGACCCTGGTAGCTGAAGGAAATTGTTCATCTGTCGGAAAAATAGAACAATCGCGCAAATGTCTAGTTTTGCATCTGACGTCGTGTCCAAATTATATAAAATTTTAACATTCATTTAAATAAATGAAACAGGAAAACGTTGATTTAAATATGTATAAACGTTGAAGTACAACGAAGCATACGCGCTGCTATCGGAGCGGGTTACCATGTTAACTCGATATAAGGTGGAACACAATTTTCATATTATTAATGTATACCGTAATTATACTTGTATGTGACATAAAATTGTTTGTGTAGTTTTAGTCTGATATTTTATTGGTTAAATTGTACCTGGACATGAATTTAGATCACAGGACTTGTGTTCCACCATAGGGCCAGTACATGGCAGTCCTCCGTTTTTAGGTGGTGGGTTATCACAGGCTCTTGTTCTTGTTTTTGTGCTCGCTCCACAAGTAACACCACATGATGTCCAACTACTCCATAACGACCAATTTCCGGGAACTTTCAATTTTGAATGAAATGCGTAAACTATGCAATGTCATTTTTTGCACAAATAGACACAGACAAAAAGCAGCATTATGTAATTCATAACTATTTTCATTACGGTTTACATTTTTACCTTCAATGTTGCTTAAATAACAATATGAATCTTTAATTAAAATGTAAAACTGAGAAATGAGTAAAACTTTCCATGACTCAAAACCAACACTTAAGTAATGTCATTATCTATGTGTGTTGAATTAAAGTGATAAAATACATGTACAAACCTAGACAGAGTATTTTATCACTTTCATTTAACCGTGTGGAATTGCGTTGACAATGAAACGACACTTATGTAGTATAATCGATATAATGTTGGTTGATTTAAATATTTACCCATATCACAGAGACCACAGAATTTTCTACAAACAAGTTTAGCATGATGTGTATCTGTACAAATGCTAAAAATAGAGCTTATTTGTGCACAGTTGTAAGAGGGGTCGTCTTCACAAGAACTGCTGTCTACAGCTTTGAATAGAAAATCATATTTTTAGTTACTGTTATAGTTTTCTTACAAATAGCTTTATCTAATAAAGATAAAAACAATTAAATAATCTATTTTGGGACGTAACAATTAATCTGCTGAATTTTGTAGCTTCCATTTTTGGAAATGCCAATGATCAACTTTGGGGATCATATAAAATGATTTGAAGCTGATCAGGCAACAGTATACATCCTGGCAAGACTGACTATATTCTTTATGTAGCAAAAGCTAGTTTTCGCGTCCAGCATAATACAATGTCAACAGTGGCTTACAATATTTACAATAGACTGACATGAAGACACAGATTGCCTTATTATGGTCTGAAAACTGAATAGTCAGTAAACTGTTTTGCGTGAAGCTGACTTGCTTTCTCTCAGTTACATCACCTTTGTCCTGACGTTTACAGATTTATTTGTAAACAATGTAAAGCCAATTCGAAGGCAATACCAGTATGTAGTATATACTAGTATTAATGCTAGCCAACGACCAGAGAAACATATCCTTGGCATTACTAAACTAATGAGTTGAAAGCGACGTTTATTTTGCAAAAGAATATTTATCTCGAATCAGTTGTTTGTTTTTAAACTCTTTATGCATTAATAAGTATATGATGATGCTTTGATACCTAATCATTTGTATAATGTTAACGTCAGAGGCTATAATAGTTTTTTTTTAAATGTACATCTACCAATAGCAAAGCAATGCAAACGTTACCATGGGTCCCAGTTGTACAAAGGTGTTGATTACACACATCTACTGCGCAACATTGGCTACATTCAAGATTATTAGATACTGATCGACCTATGATTGACAGAGATGACGCAGTAGTTGTCAATGTTTGGCGACATGCCTACAAATATCCACAGAATTTTTTACAGAAAAATTAAAATACTAGAATTTGATAAACTCATTAACAACATTGATTTTCTACAGGTTTGATATCTTAAATGATGGGAAATTGTTTTGTAAATGTGATTGTATTATTAAGTGCGTACAGCTAATGACTAAATCACCATAACAAACAAATGAATAAAATAACTAAGACGGTTTTTATCTGCCCATGGTTTATTGTTTGTTAGGGCATTTTTAGCACGAGATGTATGTAAATATCTCGGGTATCTAAGCATAATATCATGGAATTATGACAAAAGTGAAATACGACCTGTTTTGACCGGCATCCTAGAGTAAATCTTGTCTCATCTCCAACACCTGACGTATCAGTGAAGCAATACTGCCAAAACATACATAACATGTATTTCATGTCTCAGAAATTTATTATGAAAAACCAAAATCAGTTTAAGGCCCATTATGCTTATATTTTTATTTCTCAAAAACTTTTTTTTAATTTGTGTTACTTTTATATTATAGTAACATTACTCATTGGCCAATTACCTGAACCATCTTTTTCATTTGTCGCCTTTTAATGTAAGGGGTGTAATATATGCATAGTTAAGTCATGATTGTATTAACGATGACTTAAAACTTATTAGTAATTGTGGCTACCAGTATAATAAAAACATAAAATATGTTCTGCTGATCTTTAAATACTATTAATTACAAACAATAATCTAAAGTATCTCTGCCCTCTGTCTAATATACCGTTATTTAGCCAACAAATCAAATTGTCGGTACCGTATACAGTGAGGCATTGGGCAAAATAAATAAGTTATCGTTCATGCTATTGCTTTTGAATAAACTTTCTGTTGCGAATTAGACCTTGTCATGTTTAGGTTATTTTATTTGTTTATATTTTTCAAGGTTATATAAACAAAAAACATGGTCAACGAAATTTCTTTTCACTCATATTACTTTGCATTTGTGATTATCACGCATGAAACTTTGGTTTCTGAACGGTTAAAAAAGGGAAATGATACTTTTATTTGACATTGGTACATGTAATCTGATTTAACAGTCACGAGGTGACCTACAATTGTTGACTGTCAGATCCATAAGCTTAAACGTACCAAACAATAAACTTTTATATGGTAAAACACAATATTTTCAAACAAATACTACATCGTTGAATGCAGATAACGTCATATACTGATTTTGATATTGTGGTGTTATTATATATATACTATACTCTTATTTGATATTTTAAGATATTAAAATTGCTACATGGTCTTTTGTTAATATAAAATAAACATATTTTGACTTAACACGCAGGAGATAAGTTATTCGTGATACCCTATAGACTGTTAGTGTATATAGTGTCATTAACAAACTGGCAGTTTTTGTTGTTTTAAATTACCAGCTTTACTTGACCCTTATTAAGGAACAAAGATTGCTATAAATAATTTGTGACATTTTATTGTTCACTTTGGTACATTCAAAGGTAAAAGATCTAAGACCATTATCACGCTGTAATTTGCAATACTGGGCATTTTTTATGTTGAGTTGATAGGGCTATTTGAAAAACAGTTAGCGATAAATTTACAATAATTGAGTAATAACTAAATGACTAATAAACGTATTTCTTAGTCGTCCTTTGTAAGACACTTGATGTTTTATGCATCAGTAAAACAAGTCAAATGTTTTTAGATTCTAAGATAGTGCCGTCAATACTTTCTAGATAGGTTTTTACCATCCTTTTGGTTCTTTCCTTGTAATGTTTGATACCAAGTTGCGAATATCATTGATAGAATTCAACAAAACTTACATGATCCTGCTGACAAGAAGCTGAATACTGACAATCCGTTATGTTTCTAACATTGGCACACTGGTAACAGTTAATGCAATCTGTATTTGCAACGAAAACATGTTAAATTGAATTTATTTTCACTATTTGAGTTATAGTTATATATACTTATAGTTTATTATAGGTGCTTTTTTCTCAAAATTTCGGATACTGTTAACAATTTCATTGATACAAGCATAAGTGTCTCGTTAATAATAAACAGATAATTTTAAATAAATGATCATTTGCAAAACTTTTAATCATTTGAGAGAAAGTAGTTACCTCCAAATAGTACGTTTTTAATATGAACCTGTCGTTATGATTATATATGAATAGACGTAAAATATAATATTAACTAATTTGCACTTTTAAAATGAACAGTGCAAATCAGTGTTAAGTGATATCATAACGATTTTACGCACAATATGTTTTTAAACACAGCAGCGTTAACATCAACTGAAATAGCATATGGATTGATGTGGAATTCATCTGTAATATAAAATTGAATGAAGAAATTTTTATAAAAATGTAAGTTTATGTGTAACGTATAAGCATTGATCCAAATATAGCATTTGACTTCAAAAATGAAACTTAAATACTTGCAATATATTTTTTTTCAAAATGTTTGGTTGCTAAAATTCAAATTGATTTTCTTTTTTCTTTGCGAATAATAATTTTACATCCGTAGAAACTTTATGTTGCTTACATATAGGATTCTTTGACTTTACTACATGATACATAAATTGCACGTTGTCTCGCACCATTGTCTTCAAAGTTTACATGGAATGTTGTGACTCATTTGTTCTTGAATTCTTCCTTTAAACCATATCAGTCTGTTTCAGTTATAAATCAAAGTAAATTAATTTTGAAAGCCCTAGATCTTACCTTGTTTACGTCCACATTCATAATTATAATACAATAAATGTATCTTAAACGCACTTGTGATAGTTCAAATTTCAAAATAAGTACTGCTGATAAAGGTTTCTATATATGTATTATATTCCTATCGTTATCAGACATATTTCAAAGAATTGAACAAGCCTGTTTCTCTAATCATTACTAATACCATATGACGATAATACTTGACTTTTAGGACATAGAACATACGCAAATTTTAGCCCAATTTATGAGATATTTTCTATTCAATATCTTTCAAATATTGTTGCTTTCTTACCGATTTTCACAGATAGGGCACAGCGTACCTGTAAGTGTACAAGCTATCCACGATATATTAAAATGGGGAAAACTGCTATTTTTATTGAGAAAGAATACACTGTGTTTTTATTGTGTTTCAATTTCTTATTAATAATAAACTGCATACATAACAAACGTCTAAATAAAATCTAGTTTATACATTTATAGTCTCAATTCCTAAATTATACACTCCTGTACATGCCAGAAACTTACACATTAATTTTAATATAGCGCATGCCGATTATCTTTTAAATCAAACATTGTCTTGACTTTAACATCACTTAGTGAGTTGCTTTTGCACTGCAAAATCATAAATCATAAAAATATGATATGATCTTGCAATTATCGTCATTTAAGGGATTTGTGATCATCAAATCCTTCTTGTTTTTTACCAGAAAGTATTAATAGTCAACGGGTCATAAAGAATAATTTAAGTCTTTAAAAATGGAGTTAAACGATAAGAATACTATGATATAACTCTCCACGCTGAAACAAAGAAGACACACCTTCAAATTTTCCAAATTTAGAAGAAGCAAGATGCAGTAATGTTTTTTAATATTTTTTTATGCTGATAATGATAGAAACATACTGGAAACCGAATGTAATTAATCTCTTATCTCTGGTGGAACAGGAAATTTGGCACTTTTCTAATAGTTTTCTTTAAATATTTACTGTTATATACTGATCTCTTTGACAAAAATATACCTTAGGAATTTTAACAAAATGATTTAAACTAGGGGCGTAGCTAGCGTTACGCACTTACGCACGTGCGTAACATTGACCCAGGAAAATGAAATTTAAATATACTAAAAACGGTGAGAAAACTAAAGAGTATGGGCGAGAGTGATGTTGGAGGGTTTAAAAGGAGTCATGATTCGGAATTTCATATATCTATTTAGCTCATTGATTTTAATAAAAAAAATATAGATCTTCGAAGTATTTAGCTGTTTAGTTAAGTTCCAAAGCTTTAAAACTATGATGACAATATAGCGTGAATAGCATTCATAAATTAGCACTATTAATATTCACACCGTATTACCGGCGCCAGTGATGGCAGATCACTGCAGTGATGGCAGATTGCTGAAATTTAACGCTCGGTACAGGTAGGTTATAAATTTGGTTGGTATTATTTTATTACACAAATACGGCCCATTTCATTGCTATGAAACTATTGTCCATTGACTGGAGATACTATTTGGTAATTTTGGACTCGTTTTCCTGTTTTTAGACTACTTTGAGCAGGTTAAAAGTGATAGTATCGGAAAAATCATTTCTAATTTTTTCTCAAGATAGAAAAGTTATTAATGCGGTATGTGCATCGAAAAAGCTTTTTAGCCTACCTGTACCGAGCGTTAAATTTCAGCTATCTGCCATAACTGCAGTGATCTGCCATCAATGACGCCGGTAATACGGTGTGATATTATGTCTATGTAAAGAGAGTTAATCCATATATGCCTCGTTCGAGCATAGCGGTAGTTCCTTTTTTAGAAAGTTATATAGCGCGTGTATTGATCAAATGGCGAGCGATAAATGTTGTGACCCTCTTTATGGAGATGTATGGAACAGAATTAGTGCATTTATTCCATCTTGCTTGATGATATTAGGACATTATGCTTGCTTCCATACTTCTTTATGACAACGGGAACCTACGTTTTGCCGAATACAATCTTGCATTATGATTACTTTATGCACTATTATGTAATTGCAACTTCATGTGTTCCTTTCTGAACCATCAAACTCACATATTTTAATATGATATATGTTTATTTTCATCTTTTATTTAGGACAGCGTATTATGTTCGGTGTTTAAAAGAACATTCTTTGCTTGTTCTTGATATAACTAGATGTAAATTGGTAAGTTCCTGTCGGTACCTTTAATTTGTTATAAATCTGCTACTTACATTTTCGACACTATTTCACAATTAATAATTGGTTTTGATCAATACTTGGCGAATTCGATGTGTCTTAGCATTCATATGTTTCAATATATTCACTGTTTACAGATATAATGCAATACATGATCACTGCGCATCGACAACGAAGATGACAACGATAGCGATATTATATTCGCATGTTACAGTACGCACTAAGCAGTTGACAGTAAGCATAATGCGAGTTGCAATGTTTTGTTTTCCTATTATGACAGCAGGTGTCGCTTTGTCGGTACATCATGGTCCCGCTATTTTTGCACGTGGAGTAAACAAAGTTACGTCCCCTTTTTATTGGGGCGTATACCATACAGTGTAAGTTGGGGACCGACATGTAAGTGGAAGATTTTGAGGGGAAAAAACAATATAAAACGATGCGACAGGGGAAAAGTGCGTGTTTTTGAAGATTCAGCATGTAATAGATGTCTCTTATAACTCATCCTACAAGTGTCAAAACACCTCTTAAACATTGTTTATACACCTTTTTGAGTGTGTGCCGAAGTCGTATGTACAATAGTAAAATTGAGTTTAAAGATTGATTGAAGATATTGATTGTTGCTTCACAGTCTGTTTGTAACATAAAATAAATATCATTTGGCTTCACACAAATATTTTGCTTTAAATCCTATATACACTATAAGTGGGCACTATGAATATAGTGTTATTAAAATAATATGGCAGTTTTTTTTAAGAAAGGCACAACTTTACTTGACCCGTAATAAGCTATGCAGATTCCCATACATTACATGAGTATCTTATATATTTCAATAAATTTCAGTAATAAAAATATATTAGTGAAAGATGTGCATAGTATATCTTTAAGCCCAAATGGATATGAATGTGGTGGTGTGTGAGGGGTGTCTGTGACTTATAGGCCCATTGGGCCGTGTACTATAATCATACACATATATGCTCATTATTTGTAATTGGCTAAATATGCACATATCACAATAATAAACAAATTCCTTCTTTCTTTATTATACATTGTACTGTGTAACCCACCTATTCGCCACTATTATTAGTGACTCTGAGACATTTGGAAAGTTAAAAATTGCCTTTTTAATGTTCAAGTCATTAGATAAAGACCTTTGCAGCACCTAGACAGCATTTTATGTTTTGATAAGGGAGTACACTATGACCACTATTGCATGAAACTGTCACGTATATATTCCATCCCAGCTCATGAACGTATCTTTGGGCTGAGCTGGGGGGGGGGGCTGGATGCAGCCCTTAAGCCGGGGCCTGAATCCGCCACTGTATAACTGCCCCATTAAATAACTGTTCACGAATATATTTTTCTATCAGACTGCATACATATATAAAATTATATAAATTGCATAACCTTTTTCTACTTATATTTATATTCTTTCCTAGGCAATTTATATATTTAGTGCTTGGTACGTATTTTTACGCAAAATGGTCATCGCAGTTTGTGTACGGAAATTACCGATGATAGGCGAAATGTGGAAAAATCCGTTGATCTCGATAACAGAGTTCTCGCCCCTTAACAGTTCACACTCGTTAGATATTGTTTAAATTGTTTATATATAATGTAAGATGATCAAACATAATCCACAAAGCATCAGACACCGAGCTTTATTTAGCATAAACACTGAATAATGGAAACAAGCGAAAGCTAACAGTAATCACGCCATGCCAGCGATAAAGCATATAAGTCACACTTTAACAAAATCCATCGTGTAATTTAAGGTGTTCAAAAGGAAGTAGGGAAGAAGACTAGTCGATTTTAAATCACTTCTACATAAAAGTAATACAAAAAAGAACTAAACCGTATATGTAGTTTGTAAAGAGCATGAAGAAAGGTAGCTTATACATAAAGGTATATGACATTAACATTTTAATATTCCAAAACAGTACGATGAATGGCTTGTGCAAGTTTAATAGTAATCACTCAATGATAGAATTAGTCACTACGAAAGTTTGAATGAAATAATGAAAAATAGAATGCAGCTTCATGCAAAGTTAAGATATCATAAAGCAAGATGGAATCATGCATAATGCAAGTTCCAATGTCATCAAGCAAGATGGAATCAAGCATAATTCAAGTTCCAATGTCATAAAGCAAGATGGAATCAAGCATAATGCAAGTTCTAATATCATCAAGCAAAATAGAATAAATGCATTAATTATGTTCCATAGAGATGTTTTCATGAAGCAAAGCAGTCACAATATATTTAAATGTTTACTATTGGTTTTGTTCAGATATAAAGACGGACGAGTTTATTTTATTTATTATACGTGGTAAATGGACATGAAAGTACAAAAAGCCTTGCTTCAATAGTATTTAACTGTAAAAAAATCGTTCTAATATACATTATTGGCATACGAGACATACTGTAGTGTAGGAAACCCTGTATTTTATCATATTTGGTAACTTGAGACATTCTCTGAATAATTTCTTGCCAAATATAAGTCTTAGGATGGACATAAAAAAAGGTGAAAGAGTAAATGCTCATGTGGGAATTGGCAGACACATTTATATCTGAAATAAAATTGTAGGGCGTTTTTAAGATCAGAGTATTTCATAGTCAGAAAATGGGTAGGACAAGGATAATCTTAACCTGTGTCCATGTTTTATAGCATGTTGAAGTATTTAACAATACTTCAAAATTATTTTGTAATGTCGATCTCTAACTGTAACTTCAATAAGATTATTTCATACTCTCCGTCATGAAATGAAAAGGGGATGCATCCAACCACTGAAGCCATAAGATCGATATATGTCAATTTACTACTTTTTAACAAGTCGTCCATCGTTTATACAAACGATTACATAGGGGCGTCCCTGGCCGAGTGGTTAAGGTCGTTGACTTCAAACCACTTGCCCCTCACCGC